GAGAGAGAGAGAGAGGCGGAGGTTTAATTAAAGTCCGGTCTTACAATTCTGATTCAGCTGGGAGAGCTCGAGCGACGTGCACTTGTACCGATGCCTCGACTCCAACGTGGGTATCACTATGCCGATGGCCAGGTTCGAGTCTTCTCGTGATAGCATACCAGGGCGTCGCTTTCCTTTCCATCTGAAAATTCGTCAAAATTCATGATTGATACGCGTTCGACCCAATTACGAAATTTCCACGAATCGAAACGAGAACGTAAAACGAATTTCTGGGAAGCGGGGAGAGATAGCCTGGATAGTCTATGGCAAAGAATTTATTTATTTATCAGTTTCGCGATAAAGGCTATTTTTTGCTCTTTCTCCCTTTCGAAGAAGAATCGTAAGAATTTCGATAAACGACCCGCCATCGTGACGACGATGATTTTTCGCGTCGACGATTTCTCTTTCCTGGAAAAAGGGAAAGAAAGAGAGAGAGAGAGAGAGAGAGAAGGAAGAAATCAGACGTTCCGGATTTCTCTTTTCTGGAAACGAATCGATCGACTTCTAGGAACCGCGATGGTCTCGTTTCACTTTCTCCGATGGTTATTCGGCTAACAGAGAGAAAACGGTCTCGGCGAAACGTTAACGGAGGAAGAGCGCCTCTTCCGAGAACAATCGTAATCCGCGCCAATTTTCCAGTTTCCGTATTAGGATCGATCGGCCTTAGGCGCGATCTTATCGGACGAGAGACAACGCCATCTCTTCTTTCGCAACACGCTCGATTTTTCCTTCTCCTTCGAACCCGCTTCAAAAATTCGCCACAGCGTTTTCTATCTGAAAATCAACAATCCGATAAGCGGCGAAGCTGAAGCTTATAGCGAAACGGGGATTGCTACTCGGCGAATAGCGGTGTATAACGAGAGGAATCGCGTTTAACGGCGGGACGTTCAATGGAGAAGGTACCCCTCGATTATCCCGAACAGTTGGATCCGAGTTCGTGAGCAAAATAAAGAGTAAGGAGGGAAAGGGGGAAAATCGTTAACGCGGCCTCTTTCCCGTGGATTAAACCGAGATCAAGCGATCTCGAATCGCTGGGGTGAGTATCCTTGGGCGTATCGAGCGACGCCGAACGCTATTCGTAAAACTTGAAATGTGAGGTGAGGATTCGGTAATTTGAACGAAGAAAAGAAAGGCAATTGGTCTGGCGAACCGTCTCTTAAAATGTTCACGGCGAGTTGGGATAAAGGGAGGAAAAAGTTGAAAGAGAAGAAAAGGCAGAAAGGGAAGTGGTCGTGACAAAAAAAAAAAAAAGAAGACTGCACTTACGTTTTCTCTTTCTCTAACGAATGTATAAACGTTCCGTCTTCCTTATCGCGGGTTACGGGGCAAAATGTCGAATTCGATTAATCCCCTGGTTGCAGGGGATGTAATGGAATAATTACCGTTCTCCTCGAGAGGGGCGAATTTGTCGCGGCAGAGCAGGACCAGTGGCAGCCAGCAACGAGCGTAGAACGCACCGGCCGAGATCAGCAAAACCAGCACTAGAACGCCCACCAGGAACGATCTTCTCCAGGATCCGTTTTGCAGTCCCAGCGCGAATTGTGGCTCTGCGAATGGAAACGGTTCGTTGGAGGTAAAAAAGCGAATCGCGATATCGAAGGGAGAAAAGGATTGGAACGAGGGAGTAAATACAACAAAGTTGGTTTTGGCAGGATAAAAGGTAAAACGTAAACGCGAGCGCCGTACGAATTTCGGTTAATTGGACGGGATTAATTGGGCCACATCGTAGGCCGGTAACGAGCGGAGAATTAAATCGATCGGAGAAATCGTTAGGAGATGTCGTTTCCACTATGGATCGAGTCATTAATTAGCGGTAAACTAGCGGATACGCGCTCGTTTCTTTCTCTAATTTTCGCCAACGATACGCACGCGTTGCGTTTCTCGTAATCCTCGCCGGATGGAATTTACCTTGTCGATAAACGTGAGCGGGTAACGTGATCTCCTCGTCCACTCCGTTGCTAACTTCGCATTTGTACTCCCCGTAATCTTCCAGAGTGATGTCCTCGATCTCCAAGTAAGAGCCGATGATCTGATTGTTTTCCCTGAAAAAAACAATCATTGTCCATGTTTTAAATGGAAACATGATAAAAGAGAGAAAATGGCGGGCCTCGGTAGATTTCGCGCAATCTCGGTAATTAAATACGGCGAAAATGATTTCTTCATCTTTCGAGGAATCGAACGCGCGTAAATCCGACCTCGTGCCCGAGAACGCGATTACGCCACTCGCTCGTATCCAACGGAAAAAGAAGCTGACCTCATCTATCGCGATCATTTTCCTTTCCATATTTCACACCTGCGCTCTCGGCCGACCAATTTTCTAATTTCGGTCGACGCGGTACACGCGATCCGACTACGCAACACGCATCCCTAAGCACTGCATATACGTACGTACACGCGTATACGTGAGGTAGGTTGCACGAAGGCGAGTCTCTTTGTTTCGACCGAGACGGCCATAAATCAGTCGATGCGAGGGGCACGTTCGTTCGGTCAAGTTCTTTGGTCGCGATCGTTATTAAGCTTATAGAGTCATCAGCTGTCCACGGACAGTTTGACGTTTCAACCTCGGTATCGCGCCGAGCGCTAATCGAGCGATCCCATCTCAACGCCCTTTTTTCTTGGAAATCATACCAATCGTGACGCAACGCGTCGTTATCTTCGTTATCTTTGGCACACCAACCGAACGAATAGTCGAAAAATCGAATTCGAGCAATTACGTGCATCCATGACTATCCCCGTAACGAAGCTTGCGTAACGAAAAAATATGCCACCGGTTGTACTGGTTGTAAAAAGTTGCAAACGTTGAAAACCGATGATTCGTTTGCAACCGATGCGAAGCGAGATAACGCGGATTCAATCGCGATGAAAATTCAATTCACAGTCGTTTATATATATATATATATTTCTTTTTTTTTCGTCTAGTTCCATTATCCTCGAATCGATTTCCCGAATAACGAAGCGAATCCCGTTAAAAACTTTGCGCATCACTTTTTTTTCCTTTCGAATCTTTTCGTTTTCCGCCACGTTTATTCGCCCGATTCGATCGAATCCGTAAAAGCAGACTGGATAATTCGATGGCCACTCAACTTTTTTTCTTTTTCTCCCTTTTGCTCGTCGACCGCATCGAAAAGTTTTCGAATTTCGAGAGTCACGCGCATCGTGAATTTTAAATCCACCAACTTTCTCGGGATCTAGCATCGACTGGCATCGTACTTCCTCATTCGCGATTCAATCGGCCAAGTTTTAATTAAAACTCGTCCGCCAAAAATTCCAAACAATCGGGAAACGCCATTCATTACGGAAAACGACGCGCAACGACGCGAAAGCAAATTTCGACGTTCCCCCCGTTCGAATTCCATTTTCCTCGCCACTTTGCACACAGATTCCGTTTCGCGTATATGCGTGGGCTCGCGATACGTGTTGGAGGTTAGGTGCGTCGTCGAGTCGTCGAAACGCTTAATAAATTTCCGTTGCGCTGAAACAAATATTGGTATTGGTCAAACATTCGAAGCGGTACAGGAATCTTGCTGCGAGTTCTCGGTTAAAAGTCCTTCTCTGGTTCGTAGAAATATCGTTCCCCGGTCGATCGCGATCGCGTACGCGATTCGAATTAATCGCGAAATTGTTCCTTCCTAACGTATTTTAGAGAAATATGAAAACTCAAGTACAATACGTATATATTTTGTCGATAAGTTAGACAGCGATCAAGAAAATTTGGATCAGCGCCATCTCGCGTTTGGATCGCCGAAGCTCCGACTCGTTACTAGCATAACAGGATGCGCAAGGAGGTATTCGACGGACAAGGAGAGCAACACCGTGCGAAAAGGACGGAGAAAGCGTGCCACTATTTTTGGTTATGCAACTCCTAATATTTTCTAACGTAATTGACGCAATGTTGAAAATTAATTTATCGCTCGTTCGTTGATAAAAATTTCTACACTTTTATACTCGCGTTTTAAAACTGGAACCTCGGACAAGTTTCTCGTGTAAATTTTAACGCGATATTCTTTCCGATTAATTATTTATTAATGATTAACGCGTCGTACATGGATCGACATTACCGACACTCGATGCATTTTTCGCCAATTTCTTACTATTATAAAATTAATTTCTAAATATAAGTATATGCATTTGAAACGTTATATCCTCCTCTGTTTTCACGCATAAATTTCATGCACGATTTCTTCGTCGTTCAAACGAATAAATCGATCGATTCTTACTCGATCACAGAAACGGAGACTCGCGATTGAAATATAATCGTTGATAAATAATTGATTAAAAAGAATTTCGCGTTAAAATCTATACGAGAAACTTGTCCAAACTCTTGTCTTTAAGACGCGAATTTAAAAGTACGGAAATTTTTAGTAACAAACGAATAATTATTAATTTTCAATTCAATTTGAATGTAAAAATAGCAGCACGCTTCCTCCATCTTTTTTTCTCGTATAGATTTTGAACACGGATTCTTTTCGATTTTCTCGTTATCATGGAATCTATTTCTGAATATGAATATGCGTGTCTAAAATATCACATCTTCCTTTTGCATTCACGTTATAAATTTTATTTATAATTTCGTTGCTGTTTGAACGAATGAATTGATTATTTGTTACGATTGAAACGATTCTAACAATCATTTACATAAATGATTAACCGGAAAAAATATCGCGTTAAAATTTACACGAGAAACTTGTGTAACGTTTTAATTTTAAAACGGGAATATAAAGTGCAAAAGTTTTTATCAACGAACGAGCGATTAATTAATTTTCGACGTGGCGTCCATTATATTTATAACATATCAGGAGTTACATAACCAGAAATAGTGGCACGCTTTCTCCGTCCTTCTCGCACAGTATCATTCTCCTTGTCTATCGAATACCTCTTTGCACATTCTGCTATGCTAGTAACGAGTCGAAGCTTCGGTGATCCAAACGCGAGATGGCGCTGATCAAAATTTTTTCAATCGCTGTCTAACTTATCGGCAAAATATTTACTCGTCGAACGTTCTCACGTCCCATCGTGTATAAAAATATTGCGTTTCGTAAGAATTAAATAAGATCGATTCTTCTCTTCAGCGAAACGAAAAGTAAAACATTTAAATTTGAAAAAAGAGAGGAGAGGAGAATACTATTTAAAATTAACTTTACAACAGAACGATAATCAAATAGATTGAAAATCGCGCGTTCGAGATCAATCGGCAGGAATGAAGATTGATGGGTCTCTAACGGCGATTCATAGAACGGCATTCTCGTCAATTGGAATAGTTTAAATCGACTTAACGGCTCGGAATTTATAGAGTGTTCGAAGAAACGCGCGTTACGTTCGATCCTCTCTTTACCAATATCCCTGGCCGGCTATCATCGCGCGGTCAATCCTGTTTAATCAAGGGAAACCGATAAACTCGATATTCACCGTCGTCCGCCGCTCGAGTTTTAATTAAAACTCCTCCCCGATCTTCTTTCTCTCCGCGTTCGTTCGATTCAAACGAACTTTCCTCGCCTCCTCGGATTCAAACAACTTTCTTACCAATCTCTCCTCTCTCTCTCTCTCTCTCTCTCTCTTCACTAC